CTAGTCTTAGCTGGTCAGGCCGGAAAATGACCAGCTAAAACCAGCTAAAACCAGCTTGACCAGCCTGGTTTAAGCTGGGTATAGCTGGTTTTGGCTGGAATACCCTGCTTGACTAGGCTGATCAAGTTGGTTTTAGCTGGTCATCTCCCAGCCTGACCAGCTAAGACCAGGCTGGAAATGGCTGGAAACCAGCCTGGAAGTGGCCAAAACCCCTCTAAAACCAGCCTGGTCGACCAGCTAAAACCAGCTGGATTTAAGCTGGATAAGCTGGATTTTTCAGCAGGGCAGGCTGATGTTCTGACAGGTAGGAAGGAGCCAGGCCATTTAGAGATTTAAAACAAGGAGAGGAATTTTAAAAGTGACATGACAGTGCAGAGGCAACCAGTGCAGAGAGCCTTAGAGCCAAGGTTAAAAGCCTTGCAGCAGCATTTTAAACTAACTGTAGGCGGGATAGAGTTGTCTGACTAATCCCAGAATATAGCGCATTACAGTAGCCCAATCTAGAAGTAATAAAAGCATGAATTATTTTTTCAATTTTTTTTCTAGATAAAATAGGTCTGACTGTTTAAAAGTCAAAGCTGAGAAAAGCAGGATTTGACCACTGCGTTAATCTGTTTACCAAATCTTAAACCGTCATCAAAGATAACACCCAGATTTTTTACACAAGGCTTCAGAGACAAACCCAATTCACCAAGATTTACTGGTGGTGTCCTACAATAATTTGACGAGCCGAACACAATTGTTTCAGTTTTAATCTCATTAAAATCTAGAAAGTTCATTCATTCATTCATTCATTCATTCATTTTCTTGTCGGCTTAGTCCCTTTATTAGAATGAACCGCCAACTTATCCCGCAGCGGATGCCCTTCCAGCCGCAACCCATCTCTGGGAAACATCTAGAAAGTTCTTATATTTAGAATACTCTACTTGCAGGCCCGTAGCCGGGTGGATTGGGTTCGGGTTTTTCGAAAGACCCACCCCCACTGAGGTGCAGAATTTATCCCATACACTGTGGAGCTAAAATATGCCAAAGCAATCAGAATTTGAATCATGTTCATTTGAATTATTGACAATTGTAATTTAATAAATCTGAATTTTTTTTATGCCATTAAAACATTTTTCTTTGATTTAGAATTTCTTGACTGGAATATTGAACATCTGAAATGTAAGACGACTGAGTTTTTCAAGGCTGAATTTTTATAAACGCATTTTCAAACTTTTTTGTGTCCAGAACTGACAGACTGCAGATATGATCAGTTCAGGAGGAAGAGAAACCGATACTGGTTATGGGCTAATAACAGATCTCTACACGGTTAAACATTAGAAACATGTTCATAATAATAATTAATAACATTACACTTCATTTTATAAAGCACCTTTAAAAATACCACACACACACACACACACACACACACACACCACATCTCTCTAAAATATCATCTGTGTGTGTCTTTGTGTTTGTCTGTCTGTGTATATGTGCATGTCTCTCTTTGTATGTGTGTGTGTGTGTGTGTGTTTGCATGTCTCTCTTTGTATGTATGTGTGTGTGTGTGTGTGTCTTTGTGTGTGTCTGTGTGTTTGCATGTCTCTCTTTGTATGTATGTGTGTGTGTGTGTGTTTGCATGTCTCTCTTTGTATGTGTGTGTGTGTGTGTGTGTGTGTGTTTGCATGTCTCTCTTTGTATGTGTGTGTGTGTGTGTGTGTGTGTTTGCATGTCTCTCTTTGTATGTGTGTGTGTGTGTGTTTGCATGTCTCTCTTTGTATGTGTGTGTGTGTGTGTGTGTGTGTGTGTGTGTGTGTGTGTGTGTGTGTGTGCATGTCTCTCTTTGTATGTGTGTGTGTGTGTGTGTGTGTGTATGTGTGCATGTCTCTCTTTGTATGTGTGTGTGTGTGTGTGTGTGTGTGTGTTTGCATGTCTCTCTTTGTATGTGTGTGTGTGTGTGTGTGTGTTTGCATGTCTCTCTTTGTATGTGTGTGTGTGTGTGTGTGTGTGTGTGTGTGTGTGTGTTTGCATGTCTCTCTTTGTATGTGTGTGTGTGTGTGTGTGTGTGTGTGTATGTTTGCATGTCTCTCTTTGTATGTGTGTGTGTGTGTGTGTGTGTGTGTGTTTGCATGTCTCTCTTTGTATGTGTGTGTGTGTGTGTGTGTGTGTGTGTTTGCATGTCTCTCTTTGTATGTGTGTGTGTGTGTGTGTTTGCATGTCTCTCTTTGTATGTGTGTGTGTGTGTGTGTGTGTGTGTGTGTGTGTTTGCATGTCTCTCTTTGTATGTGTGTGTGTGTGTGTTTGCATGTCTCTCTTAGTATGTGTGTGTGTGTGTGTGTGTGTGTGTGTGCATGTCTCTCTTTGTATGTGTGTGTGTGTTTGTGTGTGTGTGTGTGTGTGTGTGTGTGTGTTTGCATGTCTCTCTTTGTATGTGTGTGTGTGTGTGTGTGTGTGTTTGCATGTCTCTCTTTGTATGTGTGTGTGTGTTTGCATGTCTCACTTTGTATGTGTGTGTGTGTGTGTGTTTGCATGTCTCTCTTTGTATGTGTGTGTGTTTGCATGTCTCACTTTGTATGTGTGTGTGTGTGTGTTTTTTCATGTCTCTCTTTGTATGTGTGTGTGTGTGTGTGTGTGTTTGCATGTCACTCTTTGTATG